CAACTCATATAAATAAAATAAAATTAAAATTAAATGACAATTTAGAAAAATTAAATCAATAATGAATAATCTCTAGCCAAGAAATAATTTCGGAGATGGTTCACTCAATTAATCATCGATGCAATGATAATTTCATTTACTCACTGATAAATAATTTATAACTGCCAAACATGCGATGACAATCAACTTTTCCTTACTGTATCGGTGATCAAAATACGACCATTAGTCGCTCTAATCAAGAAATAATCTTAAGCACGATCTTAGAGTTCAATTCCCCAGTTGTCTTAAAAATTAGAGAAAACCTATTCTAACCAAATAACACGCTACGAGGGTTATTTTAAATTAGCCCATATGTTCTCCTGATACAAATTCAATCATGTCAGCCGCCACTAATTTAAAGTAATTAAACAATTACGGATTTAACTGCTTTAACTGGTTTTACATTATTAGATTAAATTAAATATCAGGTGCCCCTGATATTTAAATAAAATAATAACCTTAAAAAAAATTAAATCAGAGAACATACGAATATCAGTAAAATAAAGGAAATAAATATAATCAATTCCATCTCATAATTTTAGATGAACTAAATTCTCCATAACTTCTTGACTAAAATGAAAAACTAGCTGATCAGCGTTGGAAATAATCCAAGCAATTTCATTGACAAAAGCTGCATGAACATCCCATAATAGAAAAGCAAAAGAAGAGACCCAGAGAAAAACTCTTCGTTCGGTTCTTTGCTTCCAACTAAACTATTAGTTTCTTGGGACCGGAACAAAGTCTCAAAAATCACGAAAGTCAAGAGTCCCTCATCCTTACGCTCTTTTCTTTTCCTAAACTAGTACTACTACTAATTCTCTCGCTCGGAGAAAAGAAAAGATTAAAGGAACGATAATGCCTCCTGCTATTATGTTTCCTACTCCTACTAAACTACTAATACTAAGCGAAATCAAAATTGACAACAAGTCAATATCTCCTATTCCATAAAAAAGAAAATTGCTAATAGTTCTAATAGATAAATTGACTAATATCCTAGTAGGAGTAGAACACTTCCATTCGATGGAACATTTGATTCTTGCAATTTCAATTTAAAGCTTGGAAATCACGTGCCAAATCCTGAACCTTCGTACATGCAGAATTCAATTTTGATGCGCCCATGCTGAATTGTAAAAAAATCCAGTTAAAAATCACTGGTCTGTTTGGATTGATCATTTTTTGAAACAAGTTTTTAAACTACAATATTACAATAATACACAAACAAAAACAATCTCAAAAATACCAAAAACAACTTCAAAATACCAAAAACACAAAAAAAAAGTTCAAAAACACCAAAAACAAAAAAAAAACCTTAAAAAAAATACCAAAATTGCAAAAAAATAACCAAAAATAACCTTATCTATAGTAAAAAATTTTCAACTACATTGATATAATAAAATATTTCAAAAACACCGTGAAAAAACAGCTAATCCAAACGGAGCTCACGTTTTTAACTCCTTTTTGCTCCAGATCCTTACAATCAATACAATTGCTAAATATAAGTAGAATCTATCAATTCAATATTTGGCTAAAATCAAGGAAAAAATAATCATAAATTTAATGACAAAAATGCAACCTATTAGAATTTTTCAGCTTTAAAAATTTTTGTTGCTACAATATTCAATGCATTTGGACAGATTTATCTCGTTGTTCAACTTATTTTTCACTTGCGAAAATAATCCACACTTTTGGATAGATTGTTTTCATTGTCCAATTTGATGTCAACTTGTTAACAATTCATTTTGTGATTTTCATAATCACAATTGAACTGACAGAATTCTTCTCTGATCTCTGTCGTAACATTTGCAATCAATCTGACAATTATCTAACCAATCTTGTGGTCCGATCCTCACAAACTAGGCACTTCATAACTAACCTTGTGGTCTAACTCGATCAACTAATTTCTTTGCAGTAATTTTCATGCTCTAACTCTGACAACAGAAAACACCCACAATTAACCCTTGTAATTGAGTCAATGCTTCAATGTCTATAGGTACCTCAGGATTAATTTCTTGAATCCAGGACTTTGATACCAGACGTAGAACCCAAAAATTCACAAAAATGTACATTATATAGGAGATATATTTTATAAAATCAATGTATATGAGAGGCAATTTACATAGATATAAGTATGTGTGGGAGAAGAGGAATAAATATCAATAATAATATATTAATCACACACCATAACGAGGCCCTCAAACTAATTCCTAAATAATAAAACTACCATAACTTGAACCAAATAGAATTATTAAAACCCTAACTTGATTAAAACACTACTAAAAAATAATATGATAATTTCTTTATTTTGAGTCTTGATTTAATATGCAAACAAAAAATATGACAGTTGTCTAATCTAGGGCCGTCTGCACATATTGGAATATGTTATCAATTTTTATGGTATTGCTGAGTTAGTGTGCAGAAAAAAAATAGTTACTATAACACCAGCAAAACCAATTTGAAGTCGTGGGTACTCTGCAAATTGAAACAAGTATATCTACGACCATAATATCATTTACAAGATACGTTCTAACTTGTGTACTTAAATATGGCTTGACAAACCATTACATGGCATGAAAACGTGTGTACTATTGGTAGGAATATATGAAAACCTGTTCTACGGTAAAATATTTCAGCCAGTAATGATCGAAAATTATCACTGTCAGGTTCTCTTCTCTAATCCCGTGCTATAGGCTGAAGTCAAAGCCAAATTTGCCTTGACATTCTACACTTGAAATGCCAAAAGTTGTTACATTAGCCTGGTGTACTTGTCCCGCGGCTTATAGTGCTCATGTATAACTAGTTAACTACTAACGGGATAGGTGTCATTTTCTAGTTTTCAATCCTCTTTCACATATTTGGTTTCCGTTGTCATCCTACTTTTTCCTTTTTCAATTTCTTGTTTCAATCTTTATCCGGCTTTTTTTTTTCCCGTCATGTTCAAATTTTCTTGCAACTCTATTTTGGTATGTTACCACACATGGCAAGAAAATAGAGAGTAAGATGGAGATTTAAATCAGAAATGGGATAGAGGATTTGGAGCACTTCATCCTTGTTTCATTCGAGATTAGTATAAATATGAGAAAACATAACAAGACTCTTAGCAGGTACAAAACCATCAAAAGTGTCCTTTTTTTTTGCACTACTATAACAGAATTACTTCCATTATAATTAAGAAAGAATATCCTTAAGAAATATTTAATCTTTAGGCTTTTCTGCTATAAATTCATCCACAATGTCCATGTGATCTGCTTGAGTCAAACAGATAGAGCATTGTACCAAAAATGGGAGCCGGAGGCCGGTTGTTTGCTTCAACAACCAAGACCGGACGCAAGAAGAACCCAATCAAACGAGTCCCATTCTCGAAGCCTCCGTTCAATATCCGTGATATCATGAAAGCCATCCCACCTCACGGCTTTAAGAGATCGCTCCTTCGCTCATTCTCCTATCTTGTTCGTGACCTTACCTTGGTCTTTCTGTTCTACTACATTGCTACAACTTATTTCCATCTCCTTCCTTCTCCATACAACTACCTTGCCTGGCCTATTTACTGGATTCTTCAGGGCTGTGTTTTCCTTGGAGTTTGGGTCATTGCCCACGAATGCGGTCACCATGCATTCAGCGACTACCAATGGGTGGATGACACCGTTGGTTTTATCTTCCATTCTGCACTTATGGTCCCCTACTTCTCGTGGAAACACAGCCACCGCCGCCACCACTCCAACATTGGATCAATCGAACATGACGAAGTCTTTGTGCCGAAGCCAAAGTCCGAAATAGAGTGGTACTACAAGTACCTAAACAACCCTCCAGGCAGAGTCATCACTCTGGCGATCACCCTTGTGCTGGGTTGGCCCTTGTACCTGGCCGTCAATGCTTCAGGCAGACAATATGATCGTTTTGCGTGCCATTATGATCCTTATAGTCCAATCTATAATGCTCGTGAGAGGCTTCAAATCTACATTTCCGATGTTGGTGTCATTGTAACAACTCACCTGCTTTATCGGGTAGCATTGGCAAAAGGGCTAGCCTGGCTTATATGCATCTACGGGCTACCGTGGCTCATTCTAAATGGCATCATTGTTTTCATCACGTATCTGCACCACACTCACCCTTCATTGCCGCACTATGATTCGTCAGAGTGGGATTGGCTGAGGGGCGCGCTGGCAACCATTGATAGAGATTATGGTGTCTTGAACAAGGTCTTCCATAACATCACAAACACACATGTGGCTCATCATCTCTTTTCAGCAATGCCACATTATAATGCAGTGGAGGCAACTGAAGCAATGAAGCCAATTCTGGGAGAGTATTACCAATTTGATGGCACTCCCGTCTACAAAGCAATGTGGAGGGAGGCAAAAGAGTGTCTTTATGTTGAGCCAGATGAAGGCGGCAAGGGCGTTTTCTGGTACAAGAATAACTTTTAAGGAGAGTATAGTCTGTATTGTTTTTAGTGAAGCTGTATCTTTAGTGGATTTGTGGGGAACCAAGAAAGTAGTTTTCTTTTGCTTTGGTGAAATGTATGTCGAAGTGTAAAAGTAAAGTTACCATGTGCTAATAAATTCCTAGCCTATGTTTCTAGGAAGTCATAAAGGAAGTCATATGGTTTTTGTTCATCTGTAGAAAAAGAATGAGAAAATCGCTAATTTAGTTCCTAAACCTTTTCACTAACGCGGATTTGATCTTTCAAAGTTTTTGCATATGGAATTGGTCCTTAAAGTAACATGTCTATGCTAATAAAGGACCTAATAGGCAGCGCCACCCCAAACATCTTTTTTCTCATCCAGACCAGCAGCAATTTAGGGCATTTTCGGAAGAAGATATTGGGGCCCTTGCAGTGATGAGATACCAATAATAATAATAATAATAAAAAAGCACCATTAAACGGTCCTTGCTCTTTTTGCTTATTGCAGTATCAGCAGTTCCAAGTAGATCTCTCAACAGCTCAAACTCAATAGCTAATCATGAGTAAGGTTTGCGGTTCATTAGCTTGTGTCGTTAAGGTGAGAGGTCAAACTCCCAAGGTCGCAAAGCAAGATAAGAAGAAGCCCCACCGCCGTGCCTACAAACGTATGCAATACAACTGCCGCTTTGTCTCTACCATTGTTGGCTTTAGAGAGAAGAGAGGGCCAAACTCATCGTAAAATTTAACATGAGGACTGAGGTATGGTAGTTTTAGTAGGCGAAATTCTGTTTTGAGCTTGTTGCATTGTTATGTTGGTCACGTCATTGCTGTTAGGAATCTCAGTCCAGTTACTGTCATGTTCTCTAGGCATAATCATGTTCTCTAGGCCAGAGAATTGATTAGAGCCATTGGACTGGATGCTACAATTTTCCGTTGGTGTCTATTTCCATTTGTCTTGTCCTCCGCTCAACGACAAGACTAATAAAACAGACCACTAGAAAGTTGTCCCAATTCTAATCTTAAATCTTGAACTGGTATTGGTGGCGGAAAAACAATGGAGAAGTATTTGTTTATCATCGTCATCTCCCTCTGCATCTCTGCAATTCTTAAATCCCTCTTTAATATGGTATCCCCCTATTCCTCCTCCTCCTCTAACAACACCAAAGAGAAGCTCCCTCCAAGACCCTCCACCATCCCAATCATCGGCAACATCTCATAGCTCGGCAAGTCCTTTTCAAAATTAGAATCCATCCTTCAAAACTTGAAAGCCAAGTATGATCCCCTCATCACTTTCAGAATTGGGTCTCGCCATTTAATATTCGTTGGAAGTTCCTTGGCCCATACGTCCTTCGTCTAGAATGGCGCCGTCTTCTGCAACCGCCCGAAAGGTTTTTGCATTGCCTAAATCTTCAATAGCAACCAGCATAACGTCAACTCTCTTATGGCCCACTAGGCATTTTCTCCATTTAATGCTCTGTTTTTAAACTCGGGCTAGAGCTGCCGGTTCGACCGATCGAATAGGGAATCGGCCAACTGTTCGATCCGAGTTAATCTTAAAAATCGAAAAATTAAAATTCAATCAAATCAGGTCAAAAACCGGGTTTGATCAGAAAAAAATCAGAGAATCGGGTTTTTTTTTAAAAGTCAAAGTATTTTTAATATTATGTTTTGACTCCTGGGTTATTAAAAATTATTAATATACCTAAATATTTCATACTTTATAAATGTTGTCTTAAAGTTTGGTGTTATTTTTCAATTAAATTCATAATTTTAATTCTAAACTTGTTAAAGTTCATTAAATAATATAAATTGCTACTTGATTGTTTTAATTTCTTTATATTTTTTTGTTAAATATATTTGAAACATCAATATATATGAATATATCTTTATTAATATTAACACGTTCTTAGGTATTTTACATATAATATTTTAATTTTTAAATAATTTTTATTTATGACGTCATCCGGTTCAACCCTGATTGACCCCGATCGAACCCATTGACTCCTAACCCCTGAGCTTGATCGAGTCGATACCCGGTCCGAATATAAAAACATAGATTTAATGGTGCTGTTTTTCTGGTATCTCGTCAGTAAAAAGGCCCCAATATCTTCTTCCTAAAATGCCCCTAAATGGCCTCCCGTCTAGGCGATAAAAAAAGATGTTTTGGGTGGTGCTGCCTAATAGGTCCTTTATTGGCACAGGCATTTTTCTATAAGGAGCAATTGCATATAAAAAAACTTTGAAGGATCAAATCGGTATTAGTGACAAAGTTAAGAGACTAAATTGACGATTTTCCCAAAAAAATTAAAACTAGTCCATTTCACATGCCAATAGTCTCTCAACTATATTGCCTATTCATTAATAGGTTCCATAAGTGAGATGCTTATTATTTCTATATTTTTGAGAATTGCTATATAAACATTGATCCACATGATATAATTACGGTTAACAGCTTAGTAAGGCTCACACACTGGGATGTAATTAAAAAATGCACTAAGGTTCATTACAGCCTAACGAAATGCATAAACCTCCTAATATAAGTGTTTTAATCTCCGAAACTGATTAAACAGATAGAAGTGATACGTTATAATACTAGTTGATATCTAGCACACTGACAATGATACATTATAATACCTTTTAATAGTTCAACATTCAACATAAAACTGAAACTTTCAAACATATTTATACTTTGAGTGCACCATTAACTAAATCTTGATCATAAACAGCGTAACTATGTCGCAGATTTTGGCCAATTACTAATTTCTGGTGATGACCATGGCGAAAATTTTTCCACTTCAACGGTGACTCTAATTCTTAAATGGGAATAGAGAGTGTTCGAAAGAAAGAGAGATAGCCTCTACAGAATGGAATCATTTTCAACCGGTAACTAATTTGCAATGTTCTAAAACTCAGACTGGATCATCTGGTTGAACTGTCTGGCTTTTAAGTCAAAAAATGGGTCGACATCATCTAACATTATCGGATGCAAGCTGTACAACTATTTTTTCACTCTTTCTAGTTAACCCTCGTGCTCTCTTTTTGGATTAAAAAATTCCCATATTATGCAATATGAGTTTTGTGTCATCTCAATTTTTAAAATTTACAGTTTAATTTTAATTTGCTCAGAAATTCTAAAATATCTCTTGCTAGATTTCATTATTTTTATCCATTAAGTTATTGTTAAAATTAAACAATTTATATTGTATACTAACTTTAATATGACTTTTCAATTTTTTTACTCATAAATTCACAAGTTCTGATTATCTTCAAATTAGAGCAAAAAATCTCAACAGCCATTAAACTATTACCTGCATAAACTTTTAACCATCAAATAATTTTTCATCACAAATTAATGATTAAACTAAATAGCCCACACATTTGTGATCATTTCGTCGATTATTGCTCTTAATCTACAAAATAATCAAACCGTGTTTTAACAAAAATATCCATAGTGGACCAATATGCCCTAGCATTTGAACACATGTTCTAAGTATTTTGTAGATTAAGAGCAATAATCAATGAAATGGCCACGAGTGTACTAATTATTTAGTTTAGCGGCTAATTTGTGATGAAAAATTATTTTATGTTCAAAAGTCGATGCAAGCAATAGTTTGATGGTCGCTAAGGTTTTTGGCCCTTTACATTATTACAAGGTCATACTCTTATCGGGGTTAGGATGAGTTGGGTGGTACAAGAGAGGAAGTGTAAGTGAGAGATATCGAATTTGACACCATCCACTTACACTTGAAAAAGAGAGAGAGGTAAAAAAGTTCATGCTTTTGTCGAAGTTAGTTTCTTTTCATTTCTTCCTTTATTTTTCATGTTTAATACAATGCAATTTTCTTATTTTCTTTTGCATTTGTTGTAGTTGTAAAATAATTTTGTTTAACATATACTCATGTTATTGTCCAAACTTCTAAATTATTTCTATTAATGATGAACTAAAGTGCTTAATACCACTACTGATCAACTAAGCATAGATTCATAGGATAAATAGTGGTCTATCTGATAATAAAAATAACGTGTTACTTATTTACGATATTTTTGTGACATCAAAGGTCAACAATGGCTTAGTATTGGTCATTCAACTAGCTATTACTGGTTTACCAACTCTTCATTCATTTATTGCAAAAGAATAGTGCTCTTATTTCTATTCTCGTCTCTTTGATGTACTGGATGTAAGGTCTATGTCCCTCTTTTTTTTTTCTCTAATGATTGTCACTAATAAAGTTAAGAGGTGGCATCCTTTCCCTGCATATGGGATTTTTTTTTTAAAAAAAAAAGAAAAAGAAAACACTGACTATTTCAAAGAGAATGTTTAACTTCATTGGCTTTTAGGTATAGGTCGTCCAAAGTAGTAATTTCATATGGGACATTTGTTTTTACCATCACGAAATAATAGTGGTATTTGGGAATTTAAATAAATAGAAAATTGTGATCAATTAATTCAAAGTAGATCTCCCTTCCCCCTCCTTGCTTCTTAAATTCCGAAAAGTTACTTTTTTGAATGGAAAATTTAAGAATCAACTAAAACCTTTTTTGACTTTGGAGAAATGACTCTTTTTTTGAAGCAATAGAAAATGTAAAAATGTGACATCAACAATGAGATGGAAAAAAGATATACTTAGCCCTTTTAGGATAAGTAGACTGATGGCTTAGCTGCCTTCAGAAGCTTCATTAGTGCTGCACTTCGTCCTCGATGTAGTTGTTTTAAAAGATTTGGCAACAATTTCCATTATGGTTGAAAACATAAAGAGTTTAATTCTGACATTTTGCGTCTAAATTTGGTTTGCCAAACCATTGCATCGCACCAAAACATACATACTATTCGTAAGATTACAAGACAACGTGTTTAATGGTAAGATATTTCAGCCAGCCATGATCGTGAATTATCAGTACTGTTAGGTTCTCTTGTCTAGTCCCTTGCTATAGGCTGAAATTCGTGGCACATAGTCCTCATGTAGAACTAGTAATAGGGCAGGCGCCATTTCCTAGTTTTGAATGCTCTATCTCATTTTTGGTTTCGGTTGTCACCCCACTTTTCTATTGTTCGATTTTTTGTTTTAATCTCTATCTTGATTTTTTTTATCATGTTTAATTTTCTCTTGCAACTCTATTCTAGTATATAATGGATATACCGGGTAATATACTCAGGAATGGCAAGAAAATAAAGGTCAGACAGAGACTGAAACCGGAAATGAGATAGAGGATTCAGAGTACATTTTCCTTCCGTCACTTGAAATTTGTACGAATATGAGAAGACATGACAAGACTTAGGGTCTGTTTGATAACATAAAAAAGTGCTGAATCTGAATTTTTTTCAGACATTCAGATGTTTTGAGTGTTCAATAAATGAAAATACATTTGCTGAATTTGTTAAGTAGTGCTGAACTTGTGTGTATTTTTTTCAGCACAAGAATCCTAACTGAATGCTTAATTCTGATAAGAATCAATAAAATTACTTCAACCACCTTATCTTATCTACCAAATCTACCCTTGTTTATTAATTATATTCAAAATTCTTATCTAATTAAACAACTTAATATTCTCTATCTAATGATTTTCTATTTATCTTTTCTACCTTTCTAATGACTTTCATATCTTCTCCATACTCATCATATAATATATTTCATCTTTTATATTAATTTGATTTAAAAATAAATATTGTCATTTTCATGCCTAAAAATTTTAAGCTAATTAAATCATAGGTTCTATTTCTTTTTTGGATGAAAAGATATA